TTTCCTACGGGGTGAGAAAACTTCATGGAAAAAGGTCAAAGTAATCATGAAAATAGGGTTAACATCAACGCCATGCAGTAAGTCAGATGCTGTCACTCGTGGTTCCCAGTCACCCCTCGGGGAGTCGGAATAGACATAACTGTTATTTATTTATTTATTTATTTAGTTAGTTATTTAGTTAGTTATTTAGTTAGTTATTTAGTTAGTTATTTAGTTATTAACACATACTCTCTCCCGAGGGGGAATGGCAATGGTTACAGATAATAGTAAACGTATACAGTATTAATACGCTAACAAGGAAGGAATGAAAATAAACTAATTTACAAATTTAAAACAGAATTTTAATAGAAAAATATTAAAACAACTCCTTCTAAAAGAAAGATTCATATGATTTCCGTATTTTTTGCCGAATTTCAAAGCACTTGTTGATATATATACTGTGCTACCTGGAAAACCTATGATTAGCCTGACAGGTAGGCGTGAGTAGGCCCTCGCCGACCGAGCAGCATCAGACCCCGGGAGGGGGGGGGGGCTACTTCCACATTAAGTGGGTAAAGGTCTGCAGCCCACCTCTCTTAAACCATAATCACTTCTAAATCATTTTTTTCTATTTATATGTTCATTTCTAAACACAAGTGTTTTCATCGAAAAAAAAAACAACACCCAGCTCGCAACTTTTTCAACAAGTGAGCGCATCCGGACGACGCATTTTATTCAGCCACTTCCGGTATCTGGCTTTGAATATAAGGACCTGTGAAAAAGTAAATAAATGCTACACACTTCTAAACCAAAACATTGATAAATGACCACCCACTTCTAAACAAAATAACGTGAAATGACCCCAGTCGGGCGGCACATACCCGTATTGCACTTCTATGGAAGTATGATGAAATTGTTTGCACGTATCTGTTGATTACGAGTGAATGGCTGTGTTATGTCTGTCATCGTTTAGGCCCATGCGAGGTTCCGGACGGAACTTGGCTCAGTGATTTGGAACTAATTACGATATAACCGTCGCTATTCGGACTACTATTTCTGAAAGTTTGGTATTCGCAGTTATTAATGTAGTGAATTCTATAAAGAGGAAAAACAGCAAACTACTCTATGCAAACCGTCCAAGCTAGAGAACTTTTACGGAAGGCCAGAGTCGAACATGGACCATGTGGCATCGAAGAGATTAAAAAATTCCAGAGGGTGTTAACTGATTTCAGAATACACGTATTGTCGCACGATCATTTTGACTCCATCATCTTTGTGGGCGATGCCGCAGAAGGTTCCAAAGACATATATCTGTTTCTGAAAGATAAACACTACAACGTCATCACAAAAATGACTGGTTTTCTGGGAAAGGATTACTATTGCACTCGATGTGACAAGTCTTATTCTAACCGTTACGATCACATGTGTCCGACTGGGAGTTTGAGTTGTGGAAATCAATGGGACTGTGTGGTTACACGATGGCACAAATTTGTCACAGATTTTTCAAGAACGAAGAATGTTTTGAAAGGCATCAAAAGTCGGTTAATGGGAAAAAAACTCTCTGCCAGTCAGTTCAACGTTGCGAAAAATGTCACAAACTACTCAAATATCATGATGGATCTCACAAGTGTAACGAAGTTTACTGCAAAACCTGCAAGTCTTTTCAGACGTACGAGCAACTGTGTTACATTCAACCACTCACCGATAGAAAAAAGAACCAAGAATCTGATGATTCGATGACTCTGATAGCCATAGGTAACTACGTCTTTTACGATTTTGAATGCACGACCGACGAACATTGCACT